GAGGGGGCGTTATGAAGAGCGTTAGGATCTATGTAGTGAATAAACGAGAAAGTTCGGAGTGGTAACCGTTTACTTGGAAGCACAAGTCATCAATTCCATTTACAAACATCATTATCGAGCAGTCGTCAGCATACGAGATGATAGACAGATGGTCTGATGATAAGGTGGGCATAGTTTGCTATGTGACACTGTTTATCAGGCCACCCCAAGCGATTGTGATGTATGGCGAGCTGCTGCAGATACCCGTTATTCTTACGGGTGTGTAGTCGTTCACTGTTCAAAATTTCTGACTTTCTATTTAACCTGTCGCAGCTGTCCTTATGCTATGTCGATCATAAAGTCGGTTATATCTGATATCTTACCTTGAAGTCCTTTGCAATTGAATTTAAGTACTTACTGTTTGTCGGGATTCGGAAGTGTCCTACTAGTGCTATTTTTTTTTATGTTTGACGCTGTGGTTATTGCACGATTACCTTGACACTTGTTTTTTGAGTTGTTACAAAAATCTACCTACATACATACCGTCGCCTGGGTAAAAGATTGTTGTAAGCGCAATTTCGACCATTTTTAGTTCTAGATGCAGTTATATATTTGGAAATAAGGTCTTTCGATTGGTGTTATCAGTTCTTAGATATCTCCTTCAGTCTCCGAGATATTTACTAAATTTTTTTCGATAATTTAGTAAAAAACTAGCTAGTGGTGCAGTCATATTAAACTAATCAATATTTTAAAAATGGCGTTCTCCATTCTTGGACATCTCCTTTAGTTTCCGAGATATTGAGTAAAAAGTGTCGTTAATTTAGTAGAACACATTTTGTCGTATTTCATACAAAGTGGCTTCATAAACTCAAAACTAATTAACAATTGACGTTAAAAATTAAATAATTTTGTGAACTAGTAGCATTTTCAGAGACGACAATGGGTATTTCCATACGTCACATACGTGACAGTCGCACGTTTCAATGAGAAACAAACAAGGAAAAACATTTGTTTTCTTTTACTTTTTTTAGACCCTTGTCTAGCATATAATTAGCTCTATATTTATCCGAAAAATGAAACCAACCGAACCGCATTTTCCTTAAAGATCAGCAATTAAAGAGTTGTCGCTACGTGGCAAAAAAGGCAAGCTGATTTTTTTCTTTTCTTACAAAATCGGAAAACTCTGCGAATTGCAGATGGCTCTTTTCATAAAACTTATTTTAATATAATTTGCAGTAATTCTAGTTGCTTTTAGAGTTTTTTGGATAAATGCAACTTATTTCAATTTTCATTTACAACCCCAAGTGTGAANTATATTTATCCGAAAAATGAAACCAACCGAACCGCATTTTCCTTAAAGATAAGCAATTAAAGAGTGTCGCTACGTGACAAAAAAGGCAAGTTGATTTTTTCTTTTCTTACAAAATCGGAAAACTCTGCGAATAGCGGATGGCTCTTTTCATGAAACTTATTTTAATATAATTTGGAGTAATTCTAGTTGATTTTAGAGTTTTTTGGATAAATGCAACTTATTTCAATTCTCATTTACAACCCCAAGTGTGAAACGTTACGTGACGTGGCGTCACGTTACATAAATTTTCATCGTTATATTTTTGTTAACATTGCTTTTAAATGAAATTTTAACCCACAATTTTATGTCGAGCATAATTTATATTTTGACTTCAGTGCCAATTCAGGGTAAATTTTATGGAAAATGAAAATGAATGAAAAATGGAAATCCCTGAGNGTTACGTGGCGTCACGTGACATAAATTTCCATCGTTATATTTTTGTTAACATTGCTTTTAAATGAAATTTTAACGCAAATGAAACCTGCATTTTATGTCGAGCATACTTTATATTTTGACTTCAGCGCCAATTCAGGGTAAATTTTACGGAAATCTATGAGTTATGTTATAATNTTTTAGGCAATGACGTGCAATTTTCGATACGATTCGACTCTCGAAAAACGGCTGGCATTCGACACGACTCTCGCAATGAGGGTGATTATGTTATAACTACATACGCCAAATTCGAACCAGATCGGACCATAAATACGGTTTTTTCAAAATATCTCGACGTTGGCGCCACCTAGCAAGACCATTTTACGCACAAAATTTTCTACTTAAATAGCCAATATATATTTAAATAATACAATTATGGTTTAAAAAACTAAAACCTCGCTATTCAAATTTCCATTCGTACTGTCATCAGGTTACTTTATCCCGAGCTAATAAAAGCGAGGTAAAAAGCAAGCAAATTGGCCCATAAATACGTTAGATATATGACTTTAATTTTTTTTTTCGCGGTAGACCTTTCGATGGAAACACCCACATTTCAGTGCTTTGAACAAACACAGCTAATGAGCCAAGGAGCAGCAAACTGTTTACAGCATAGAAAATTATGCGCATGTCTCTGTTCCCACGGACAAACCACAGAAGCTGCACTTTCCCTCCCACGCCCAAACAATAGACATGGTTTCAAACCATAAAAAAAATGGATTGTCAGCTATAGACCTGAATTGAAGCAGAATCCATTTTTGGCGAAAGTAACAGCAAAATACTGAGAACAAATTAAAGTGCTCTTGAATTTATAATATACTAGCAGACCCAGCGAACTTCGTCCCGCCAAAAATTAACTTTTTTATTGAAACATTTGGTTGTTGTTGTTGTTGTAGCGGCACTACTAAGCCCCGCCTTTTTCGGGTCTACGTTCCATTTGGTCCAACGTTTTCGCCGGCAATTCACGTTCACGTTTGGTTTTGTGGTCGACAGAAGGCATGCCCTCCGATGCTGTCTTAAATAACCTGACGAAAGCGTTATACCGGGAAGAAGTCCTCGACAGTGAATCGTCCTTGAATCTGTATAGTATAGTTGGTGGCAATTTCCAAAATGGTGAGTATCATTGGCCCACATTCTGTTTCTGTTTAGTCACCGTAAAGCAAAGACCGCAGTGGTTCTGATGGTTGATTTAACAGGAGTAATTTGACTCTGATCCCTGGTGCCTCCGAATCGATGACTTTTAGCAATAACTCGGAAGTTTCGGTCGTTTAGAAGGAATTAAGCCACCACAATAAGTCTTTTATGTACTGACACTCTTCGGCATTTTTTCCCATACAAACAAACTATCACGCATTCGTTGTACGGAGAAAATGCGCTATATCATCAGCGAAAAAAATTCTCTAAAATCAAAGGTAACTTATAGCTATTTAAAACTTGCACTTTATGATACTGGAATTGTGTGAACTACAAAACTGCGTAACCAAAATTTGGTGCCATTTGATGGAAAATGAACTATATTTCTATAAAAAATTAACAAAAAATTGATTATGAAAAAGAAAAAAAAAGCACTGTATACTGGGTGTATATACTTACAGATAGGTAAAAGTTTCAATATGTTTGGAAAGCGGCACGCGGAAGGACACAACCACAAATACTTCCAGAGATATACAGTATGAAAAATTCGATATGTATGGGTGATGCCACGCTCCCTTAATATATCGAAAGTCTGCAGTAGGTGTCCAAAATTTCAAAAAATCAGTACAGCCGTTCGCGATATCACCTCTTATAAAAAGAAGGAGCTTCCCTGCCCCGCTTAACGAAAAAAATGGATCCTATATACTAATCTAGGCAAAGGCTAANCGGAAAAAATGGATCCTGTGTGCTAATTTAAGCAAAAGGCTACCAACGAACCAAATGCACTTTTTTTAGCGTAGCTCAACCCCTGTGCCACCTATCGGAAAAATTAAAACTTTGTGCACTCCTTCTTCTAAACACCTTTCCAAAAAGCAGCACCCATTCGAATCGGTTGTGAAACATAGGAGAAAATTGTTCCCAATTGATTCATACTCCCAATGAATTTCACAATTGTCCGAAATTTCCAAGCTTTTGTCGAAAAATTCAAATTTTTCGCGTTCTTCCGTATTTTTCCACTTAGAATTTTCTATTTTTCCATTCGAATGCCATTCCGAAGGAATTGCACATAAAATTCCGTACAAGAAAATCAATTTTCGATTTTTCCAATTTCTCGACTGTCCTGGAGGGTTTTCCCAAAATTTTCTTTCGTAAAAACCTTTTCCTGGCAATTACGAACAACTAAAAAAAGATTCTAGCCAAATTGGCCAAACAGTATACATTTTTCACACCATTTTTTATATATATTTTTTTTTTTACCAAAAAAAGATTTATTGATTTCATTTAATATCTACATACATACATATGTGTATAAAATTTCCTTTCTTTTGTTTAACACTTTAATTTTTTAATGCATATCGCACGTTAAATAATGTAGAGATTTAATTCAAAATTTTAATTTTGTGGGAAGACCCATCGAATTTTGATCACAACTCATACAGTTGTTATACAAAAGCAGATGTATCTTCGCCACTTTTGTGAAGTTTAGTTATCTGTTAGACTGAACATATTCTTCTTATCAAACTTATTGATTGTATGAAAAAATCTCCTAAAACGTAAATTTTGAAATAATTTTCTATATTATGAAACGTTTGATATTTGTACTCGTACATACATATGCATGCATGTATGTATGTAACTAAGCAAACGAATAATGCTGTTATTGATTTTGCTAAATAATTTAATTAATTAAAATTCATTAAATGAAAATATGCATTTTTGTTTAATTTCGAACTGAACTTGGGGTATTAGCACACACATTTGTATAGATACTATATATACATATAAAAATATTGCATTTGATAGTGTGTTCAAGACATTGCACAAAATATGAAAAAAGTAATAGGTTTAAACTAAAAACTGGAAAGAGCGGCAAAGGTCTCTGAATTCGGAACCGAAAGTGTTTTAATCTATGTACTTGTATTTGTTGTCTTCCTTAAGCAATTTATTTTTCAACAAATCAATTTGTTACATTTTTGTGTGCATGAGACATTGCGGACAAAAGTGGAAATAAGCGCAATTAACATCAACTATTTTTCACTTTAATTTTCCAAGTGCTGTAAACATTTACATTTAGTGACAGTTTCATTTTAAATAAAATCTTGTTTGATCTATAGAAAAAGAAGATTTTTATCAACCCAGTGCCTATGTATATGTACTGTTGAATGTACATACCATATGTACATACTTTACTTGTATATTGGTCTAAAGTTTTTTAGTGAATAACTTTCTTTTTGTTTTGCTGATATTTTTGCATACTTGTATGTGTTTATATGTATGAAATGTCTAAAAATATGTTCTAGTTGCATTGACATGCTTCGTTTAAAACTCAAATTTTACTTAATATATAATTACACACATACAATGCAAAGCGGTATGTATTCGCTTATAGCAGACACATACATACATACATATTTAGCAAATTCAATGCCTTGGTTGGGTACACAACAGTTGGGATAGATCATTTAGTATTTAACAATTTACATACTTTAATCGACGCATTCTGAATGCATTTTGACTTTTCTTCAACCACGCCAAATATTTGGTAGGTACAAGACATAGTTTTAATGACTTAAGCGCTCCAAGTCATGTCGTAGTTATACAACAGATTAGCATCGATTTTATATAGGAAACATAAACGAAGTGAAATGATTAATCATTCAAACGCCGTAAAATATGAAAAATTGCTTTAATAACATTAGCATCGCTTCGCTGGTGGTACTAAGTGCTCCGGCAGCACATTAGGCAGCTCGTTGCCCTCCAATTTGACATTGATCAAGTGCATAGCGAGCGCAAACTCGTCCTCATCTAGGAAGCCATCGCCATCGACATCGGATAGTTTCCAGATTTTGCTGAGCACCGAATTGGGTAGCTTCGATTTGATCAGTTCTTGTTTGGCAGCTGCACAGAGGAGAGTAAGAAAAGTTGTTGCAATCAAATATTTTAAATTTGGAGTTGAAAGTGAAAGTATTAATTGTATGCTTACTCGCTCCCGATATGCGTCCATCCACCGGCCCAAGAGCATTGAAGATGGCATCTGTGCGTGGTTTATCGCGATTGCAGATCCAGTCGTGCTCACCGAAGCCAGCATCGATACCCTCACCCTTCATATAACCAAACGGTGAGACATGATCGTCGATCACACCAGCGAAGGCGCCACCTAAAAGTAATCAAATTATATAAAAGTCAGAAATGTGGGTGAGTACTAGGAAAATATTAAAGTAATAAAAAAAAAACTAATTAAAAATAAGTCATTTTAATAACAGGCAAAAACAACTATTGTAGGTGAAATAGATGGCACGGCAAGCGTTGCAGTTTTTACCAATGCCGCTAAAGCTACAGTAAACAGAAAATCGTCTTACTTAATTGTTGCGCCTACCGCCCGAGCAAAAGATACCTGCCTGCCAGCCAGCCAGCCAGCCAGTCAACGTTCTTTACATTTGATGGCCTTTTCAATCGGCAGCAAGCAAGTACTATGTAGTAACAGAAGCAATTGCGTGCAATTTGGAATTGTCTCAGCCACCATTTCGCCCGAGAACCCACTTGACCGGGGCGCGCGCTTGAATGCATGCGCGCGCATCAACTTTATCGGCATGAGTTGAAAGCTGGAGCAGCGTGTCGGCGGCCGGCAATGGAAGGTACTTGCAATTCTTGAATGCGTTTAAGGCAATTTAATCTCAATTGTCGACGTACATATTACAGCACAATTGATTCGCTTGTATATTTGTGTGTGAGTCAAGCGCGAACCAAGTTGCGTCGATGCATTTGCATTTCGTAATGGATTCTATTAGGAAGAGAGCAATCAAACGGTCTCAGTAATTAAAAAGGTCTGTCTGCTGCACATGATACTAGGGCAGATCACGGAGTCAACATGTGCATCGGGTACAATTGACTTTAAATCAAGGCCTTACTCGGTTGACGTGGTCCAAAGTTATGCGGTAACATACATTAAAAAAAAAAAATATATATATTGCGACGAACTGATAACCTCCTCCTTTTTTGGAAGTCGGTTAAAAAGGAAACAATTTTTATAATTTCATTTTATTTTTAGAAACTTATTGCTAAACACAAACAATACCGTTGACAGGCCAATTCTGACAACTGTCTTCAAACTCACCACAGCCTTTCGAAAGACAAAAAAACGCCTTTCGTATGAGAATTTTCAATTCATAGAAAACATTTAATTAAAAAAGCAAGCGATCCTCGGATCTCATTTCATTACTTAACATTAATGGTGTTTTCGTTTTTACCAAAAAATGTCGCCTTTTGATTGCCCCTTTCTCTTTTCATGTTCGAATCTAAAATAAAGGCAAGCGGTGCTAAAATTTTGTAGTCGTTTCTTAAAATGTCACACTCTTGTAAGCCAAAAAAGGCACATTCTCTGCCCTTTGAAACTTCGCCAGGGGAGAAGGTTGCCCTGAAAATCAGATGGTTGCTTAAAACGGCAATGTTATGAAGGCATGAGTTGGACAAGGACACAAGAGGCAATAACATGCAGGGTTGAGTGTACCATCAAACAAATTTTGCAACGTGGATGGGCAAAATTTTTTGGAAGAAACGAAATCAGCATAATGTTCATTAAATGTTCTTAATGAGTCATTAACTGACCCTGAGAGGGAATTTTTTCAAATCGTTACTGAGGAAAACCGTATGTAAACTTTAAACAACACTGGGTGTGGCTCCGGGTCTGATTTAAAAATAGAGTAAAAACCTCTCAATGATCCCTGCGAAAGTACGCAAGCTTCTTAACGTTCTCAATTTTTCTTGCTCAAATTACTATTTAACTAATAAATTTTCTCTATCTAAGTACCTCTAAAACCCAGCATTTTTGGTACAGGTACTTAAGCGGGTTCTACTATACTAGATTCTGCTTTGTAAGATCAGCGATATGTGTAACACATTTGGTAGAATTCGATAGTGGTTTCAGAGAGACATACCTATAATTAGGCGTCCATTTTATGGCGTCTGCCTTAAGTAGTGTGGGAACCATAAGTAATTTACCATTTTTGGAATGTCTAAAAGTGTGTAGCTATTATTCGATTTAAAATTCGCTACGACAACCTACCCACCTTCGTTGAGTTTTATCTCAAAGGACTAATTTCTACATGCAATGCAGGATCGATAAACTTTTCTCACGAATTGTTATTCAATGACGTAATCGCTTAAGACCACTTGCTTATCCTCAGCTGTTTATTTTTGTGTAAGTATGGAGAGTTTATGAATGGAAGCACCACCTACTTAATCATTCAGTTGAGTCATCTGATTAGTTTTTACGTGCTGAAAATCGACGGCTGGTAGATTTATTTGGAAAATCGATTCTTCATTTTCATTCGAGATTAAACTACATACATATAAATAATAAATTAAGACAACAAAAAAGCAAGCAAACAAAATCGAGTGCAATAAAGAGTGTTAAGAGGTGGAGGATTCAATAAAAAAACGGTATATTCTTACATTACAATTTCCTTCCATGCTATGTAGTAGATGTGCCAGAACTACAACAAAGCCTATTTATAAAATTCGCTATTTGCTGCTTTAATGTTTGACAACTGGGCGGGTCTGCGACGGTGAGCGCATCTTTTTTTAACAGTTCAGACGGGACAGAGAGATGGGAGAGACATTTTAAGAAAAAAAAAAATGAAGAGAAAACGATTTTATTGATAAGATAAGCAGAATGCTAGTACAAATGTTATTCAGCAACTTTGGATGATTAGAAGCGGCGATGGAAATGATGTTGACGCAAATTATTAAGAACCTGGTGCAAATATAGAAATAAGAGCACACACACACACATCTGCAGAAGCAAATAAGTGAAAAGCACTTAAGTAAACGAAGCATCAAGAGATAAGTAATATTTCAGGTTTGCAAGAAGTTACCAGGCATGTGATAAGGTGCCAAAAAAGTTGAATATATATATTGTTCAAACATGCGAAGAGTGGAAGTGTTCTTACGTAAGCGATCGCATTTTTAATAATGTTAGGAAATTCAGAAGCAGTGGTGATGGCATTGTCAAACTCTCTTATTGTTGCCTAAAATGCGACTTTAATTGTTAGTACAGCAGGCTAAAGCTTTAAAGATTTTTAAGTTGCTTTGTTGCTTTGACCCACAAAATCGCACTAAATTTACTCATACTTGCAGCTAAATCAAGTTCATTAATCAAAGGTTAATGTTCTTTCGAGAGCTACGGTTTCTCTGTACATATGTACACACATATGTACATAACACATTTCGAAATCACACACTTGTCTTGTGCCGGCACAGCTATGTATATTTCAACGATCGACGAAAAGATGCGTGGCAGTGTTGACAATCACGTTTTAACTAAAACACGCACTTCGGTCCGATTTTTATTTGTCAAGCAGCCAAGAATAACTGTGAAAGCAAATTGTCAATGCGCACAGAATGATATATATTTAGGAAATCACTTAAAACCCATGCATATCGAATTGAAAAAAAAATCCGGGGCTCCTTAAACCGGACGAATTTCGTAAAAACAAAAATTAAAAATCAGTCCGCATACAAAAGAAAAAGATTAAATCCTAGGGGTCTACTCTGTCTTGAGATTCGAAAAGTAAATCCAAATCATTCGGATTCGAAGACTTGGTACTATGACTTTATTATTGTACTGATTGTTAGGTTTAATACATTGTCCAAATGTATGTAATGAGAGCTTTAGGAGAAGTAAAACTCATTAATTTAATTTAGTCTAGTAGAAACTTAAAAAATTTAGTTAACTGTTTAGTACTCGAAAATATAATGTGGTCTAACACCTGCCTGCGTCGTCATATTTTTTATTCAGTTTACAGCAGTAGAATCCACCAGGTAAACTAATAAAAATGAAAGTTTGAGTACCTACATTTTCAATAATATTTCATCTCAGTCATCTAAATGAGGAGCCCTGCTAACCAAAAGGGTCTTCCAATGGAATGGAATAACACAAATCTTTTTTATTTGAAATGCATACGAATGACATTTCACATGCTTTCAAATAACGACTTTTAAATACTTAAAAGAGATTATTTTTTTCAACAGTCTCCCCCTCTTTCTCGCAATTCAACGTCTAAAACTGTGATTAGGAAAAATTTATAATTTTTAGTCAGTCAATTTTCAAAAACAAGTCACTGTGCGCGATCGTGACATTCAGTGTTGCCACTCGAACTTTTTTTCCTACCATAATTGGTACAAAATAGCTCTCAGCCTACCAAAATTCCACTTTAATTGAAAATGTGATTTAAATACTGTTACATATGTAAGAAGGTACAACATTTTATAAAAAAAAAAAATCAATTAAAATAAAATTGTCCATAATTTGACTTGAGGCGCAGCTCTTTTTGGGTAAAATGAAGAAAAAAGAACGAACTCAAAGACAACCATTGAAAATTACGTGTTTTCTTTTTTACTTTTGCTACACAAATTAAAATGTCCCATTTGTCTTTTCCTTTTCACATCATCCTTTACATGTACTCTCGAAAACAGAGATACTCGAAGTTTTATAAAATGAATAAATGATGTGATTTGCCTACCAAAACCCCTCGAAAATCACAACAAACCAACGAACCTACCAAAGCCTTAGTTTGAGAAATTAAACTACCAATTTTGGCCCAATTGCACCGAAACGGCAACACTGGTGACATTCTTCCGCTGCAGAGAGAGATATTCTGCGTTTACTGATCGGAAGTTCGTTCACTTTTCGACATAATGTGTTTACACGTATTTACATAGCAGTGCATTTGTCGAAACACAATGGATTTAGTCCGAACTGCGGATGAAGCTAATTTTCCGCCCAAATACCTATCCACAAATACAATTGGAAGGAATAAACAAACGTGCGATATGTGTTGCCCATGTGTATAACGTATATACATATGGTACTTACATACTATTTAATGTATGTATATACAAATCTTCTAAATATGTATGTATATCTACGATCATTCGTACCACATACAGTATCGGTTATATCAATAACACCCCCATTTCAAAGTGATATTGTTTGCCACTCCTGTTTATTTATGTATTCATTTTTAAGAATTTTCAATTAAAGCACAGTTAATTCTCTAACAAAACCCATATAAATGCGTCAGAAAAAATTCTAAAAAATCAACGGTTATTTTTATAGTTCATTTCCATGAAGCCTTAACTGCAGTGTATACCAATTGG